CAATTTCTAAAGCTTGCCGCTAGCTTCGCGGATCATTGAAATACAGGGTCCATGCTGAAGGCACACTCCGAGATTGCTAGACCGAGATTGTCCACGTACACGATGGCAGCTCGAACTCTCGCAGGGTCTTTCCTTTTCGGCGCTCGAAGTGATGAGAAGGCTCGACCACACTTCCTGTTCTCTGGTGGGTCACCTAGCGCCTTCGCAATCGTATATGAACCCACGGTTCACAATCACGGAGCGTGTCTTTGAGTTGATGCGTTTGGAACTGCGATCAAGATAGCATCCATTTTCTCCCCGATTATTTATGGGCAAGGTTGTTGCAAAAGTACACATTTTCTTGCTGATCAGTTTCTCCTGTTTCAGATAGTTGCCTCTTTGGCTGCAGAAACGTGGGCGATTCAGGACGAAGACTTCGAATCCCAGTCATTTTATTGTTCCACCATTACCGCAAAAACTGTCGAACGAATTACGCAAATGTCTTATGGACTCTGTGTCATCGACACGATTACGCTTATCGGGATTATTTGCTTGAATATCATCAACAGTTATGCGATGAAGAGGTATGCGTTTGGTCATTTACAATCCAAAAAATGTAGACACAACCTAGAACGGGAAGGTTGTACGGACCCTGATATTATAGGAAAAGTGGGAGACCAAAAAATGTGAGAATGAATGAACGCCACTGCCCACATGTATTATGACCTCCACCCAAACCATCACAGCGGAACATGCCATAGACTTTCTCAGCTTCTCCATTTCAGGTTCAAAAAGTCATACAGTCTGCAGTCATATCAGCTACGTGAAAATGCTAACGTTATTCGAGTGATGCTGCCATTGACTATTTTCCAAACCATGTGCTATTTTTTATTCACGCTCGCAGTACCTGTAATCACTGCATTTCGTAGTCAAATGTCATTGGCCACGTTCCAAACTCTCGTCACCTCGTCGTATGTAAGTGGTTATTTAGAAAAAAACCAAAATACCCCTTCCTCTGAGACCTGGAAGGGTTTTCCTCCTTCCTTGTCCTCGATCCCTGTTTAATTACGGGATAATTGTTTCAGACTATTCATTGCAGATTATACCCTACTATACGACAGTTTCTCCAATTCTAATGTGGTTCATTATCCGTTGGTCGAAGCGTATGAAGGCAATCAAGTTGAGCAATCTCAGAGGTGGAAGAAAATCCGAGTGCGATGTCTATTTTCAAGAGCTAAGCAAAATGTGGAACAGCGCTTCAGTTCATAGTTTGACTAACGGCGCTTCAGTTAATAATTTGACTTCTATAAGCAACTGATTTCTGTAAGCGTGAGGATAAGTGTAGGACGTTCAGGGTATAGTCCATATCTCGGCCTTGTAAAGGGAAGTATTCATGGACCTAATGACGAAAGCAGCGCTAAATAGCCAGAAGAGAGAGCCACGCACGAGTTGCACAGACAACGCTCCCGACCATATTGCCCATTCTCGATTGGGTGATGTCTGCAGCCGTCGCGCTCGCAACCAAAATTCGGAGACATTTGCCATTCAAAGCCTAACTTTAGACTGTAGGTACAAAGTTTCTTTTCGTGTTAAACACTTTTCAAATTAAACTGGAAACGTTGTATGTGAATAAATGAGCTGAATGTAACTGTAGCTGCAATGTACTCTCAAACTTGTTTCTTATGCGAACACCATTGCCTTCTATCTCTCCCACACTCTTGTTTGGCCCATCTAGTCTTCTCTGATAGAGAAGAAGAACTGTTGCCATCGCTCCCTGCATCGTAGTTCATAACCCTACTAAAGATGTAGGGAAGCGGGCTTACCTTAGAGATCATAATCCTTGCCATCTGTAAGGTGACGGGTCCGCAATGTTCCTTCTCTGAAACTGCACAGAAGCGAGGCTGAAGTGTAGTGATAGCTAGATGCCGTTCAGGATCCCACCCGCTGACAAAGCACACAGACACGCATCGTGTCCCACGACCAAGCATGCACTTGACTATAGCCGAACGCGCTGCGTGCACATTTGGTTGCTTGTTCCTTTGGCTATTTGGCCGTTCTACAATCCGTCGAGTTTTCGCTGCGGGACCTTTGTATCAACGCAAGGGCCTCATGCCGTAGGTAGGAAATGGAACCTGGAAGGGCATTCAGCTATCACAACCTCCTCGCTTAATTTTCACGCCTTTTCAAGTGACATAGGAGCGACTTCCACAGTTACGGACATACCTCCCATTCCGCACACACTAATGATCCATCTTGCAGATATGCGTAC